GGAATAAACCAACCTGAAATGAGAATTAGATTTGCAGAAAAAAAAAAATCAGATAATATGTTTGATAAACACTCCAAACGATATGCCAAATTCTTGGGCTAAGTAAAGGCTGTAATTAAATATTAGAAATTAATTAATTTGACTAGATGTAGGCAGTTATGCTTCTAGTTCGTATTAAATTTAATGACCACTTAAACATTTCTAAAATTTAATTTGGAAGACTGATGGAGCATGCGCACAATTCAGGACTTTCCCTCTCCTCGTCACTCGTTATGCAAAACATCACTTGTTAAGCAACGCAATTTTTTACACTTTGTTTTGTTTGTTATGCGAAACACTTGTTATGAGAAATTCCACTGTATTACAAACAAGTGGTTCTCTCTTTTTGCTGCTCTTGTTTATTTATTTTACTTAGTGAATTATTAATTATTGTTTTTATTTCATTTGTTTTAAGGTTGGGGATTTGTAAAGGAATTTTCTTGATTTTGAAAATGATATGGACTATTTCATTAAAAAATCCCTTACTATGCCTAGTAACTTTAATTTACCTTCTGTTGAAATGTCATTGCTTAGAAGAAGAAAAAAATGAACTTCAATTTAATGATGATGCATATGCTGATAGTATTTTTTTTTAATTCAAACTAATCATATTGAATTATTTTACTAAGAAGTTAACTAATATCTTAATATAAATCAGTATCTAAAGAACTTCCATTTAAATTACCTGAAGACATTCCATTCATCACTGGAGGACCCATTTCTGGTCCCATAGGTCCCATTGGTCCTTCAGGGCCTGGACCCATTGGAAACTATATGATTACAAACAAATAGTTATAATTCAGTCAGTTGTATTATAATTTAAAAAGAGAAAATAAAATACTAACCCCAGATAAACTTCCACCTGGGACAGGTTTCATCATTGTATACATTCCGTCCGCTCCAGAACCTCCAGAATCTAATAAAATAAAAATCCTTAATTAATATCTTGAAATTCTTTTTATGCTTATGTAGATAAAAGTTTGAATTTAAATAATAATAATAATTTTATTGAAATTTTAATATGTAAAGTATTAAAAATGTTAGTAAGATATCAAATTCATATTTTGCACTGAAAGAAGTAAAAATTATTTTAAGTATGCTTTTTAATAAATTAATAAAGGATTTAGGCATAAAAGCAATTGTTTCTAAAATTAGATAATTAGTATGAAATTAATTCAAGTGAATGGGTTTATAACACTAAAATATAAACAAAAATTGAAGTTGTATGCTGGTCAACAAGCATAAAGCACATCAAATCCATGGTCCAGCCTCAAATTGAATGACCTAGCACAGAGCAAAACTGTTAGTATAAAATGACCAAGATGCACATGCTAAAGAGAGCTTTGGTTAGTAGCTGTGAAAAATCAATGCTAAAATTTTAAAAACAGAAAAAATAAAATAGCAATAACAAAAAAGTTGGAGAGACTCCAGAAGCATGTATCTTCACCTCTTCTTGGAGTGGGAGCATTCATTCTGTGACTTGCAGGAGAATAAGGACCAGTTGAACCTAGAATACAGGAATGCTGGAATCAATATGTTATCAAAAGATAATTATTATGAATCACACGTCTTTCAAGATGCATCCACCTTTGGATTGTTGTCATGCAACTCCAATAAACTAAATTAATAGAAATTTCCTAAAAGATATTAATTAACATCAATATTAACAATAATTTAATACAATATTTACATATGAAAATAGAATACGTGAACTTTTAATATAAAAACTACAATCATCTTTTTACTAATTAAATAATAATAATGTTGAAAATTCTGTATTTGCATAGAATGAAAACGTAAAATTTTGTCACAACATATTTATATGTTTAGTAGATCAATCTCTCATATATTCAACATTATAAATAAAAATTTATTAAGAATTTCAACCTGATTTTAACCATTAAAGTTTCTAAAATTGATTAAACTGATAAACATAAATTTATGAAAATTACTCCAAATTAGTCAATTATTAACATTTATATATTATTGTCAATAAAAGAGATTCTGATCTCAAACAGAATTAGTTGAATTAATGCAAGAAAGCAAGTTTTACTCTTGCACTGCATAAAAATTTTTTTAGAAAAAGACATTCAAATTTGCTGCTAGTAATAAATATTACTAGCAGCAAATTTGTGTTTTGTGTTTCATTAATAAAGTGGAAATAAATAATCAATATTTTTATTGTAAAAAATTAATTTTACATTTATTCAAAAAGTTACTAATTGGTGATACAGGTACAAAAACTGCCATCTCTACTGAGAGCAAGCTTGAATGTGTTTTTGATCAAAATCATTAGAATATATAAAATTCAAGAATAAGTTTATAAACATGATTATTAATAATTCAGTTAAGTAGAATTTCCTATCTGAAATCTCTAAAGTAATTAGACAGCTATCAAGAATATTAGTCATAACTGAAATTATTGTAAAATACAAAAGAGGATATTGAAATAATCAAGTGACATTCTGAAACATCACAGTCTATATAGCTAAAATGAAGATTATAAAACATATTGATAAGCAGCATGGATTACTGGAAAGTTTCAAATTTTGGTTACATATTTAATATTGTTATTAGATGTATGTTTTTGTTAAAATTTTTGACTAAAGCTAAAATGTTTCCCAAAACTGAATAGCTTTGAAGCAATTTATAATAATTATTATGTTAACCAATTGGAATTATCATGTAGGCTGTTTTTTTCAAATTCCAATGGTCCATAAAGCAAAGACAAGTGTAAATAACAAAATGAATTTATTACGAAAAGTTAGGTACAAACATGATTACTTTTTGACATAGTCACCGTGAAGATTGATGCATTTGTCATATCTGTGGACGCGCTTTTCCATCCCTTTGTCATAGAATGTTGCCGCCAGTTAATTGAGATGACCTTAACAACGTTGTTTTAAAGATGTAAATGTACTGATGTAAACATAATATATCAGAAATACTTGGTTAAATATTAGTTACTGCTAGTTTTAAATTAGTTTGATATGAATCTGTTAGCCGGTTTCTTGTTTTAATAATTATTAAATTCATTGCAGGGAAAACTATTCATACACATAACTTGTAAAAAATAACATTTGAATTATTGCTGGGAAATTGATATATTTATTCATATTTTATGTGACACGGGCCACAAAAAATATTAATGTGGGCCACGTAGGCCAGGGATGGGCCGTACAAGATGGAAGGAAAAATACAACTAATTTTGGAAATAAAGCAAACTTAACTACTTTCCAATATTCTAAATTCATACATAATAAATTTTAATATTTTCACTTTTTTATTTGCTGACAATATCTTTATTAAATTTCCTTACATTCTAAACTGAGAATTATCTGAAGAGGATGAGTTGAAAATAAAATATTTATTTCTATTCTATAACAAACAATTATATAAAAGTGTGCTAATTTCTTGCCTTTTTTTATAGTTGACTTCACATCATTGTATAATAATTAATTTTATCTTTATTGCATTATATGCAATTTATTTTCAAACTTTGTTTCTTTTTTTCTCAATTTAATTTTTTTCAAACTTTTTAATAATTATAATTGAAATTATGGATAAATGAAAATATAAAACATTTTTTGATTTAGAGTTAGTCAAATAAAAATTATTTAGATTATGAAAAGCTTCCTCCATATGTAAAAGTAAATTCTATACAATCTGCATAATGTAATTACCAAAATTTCCTGCGTATAACCCACAAAAATTGCTGTAATGTAGAGCCTGCACTTGCTTTCAAATTGACATTAAAATGGAGAATTCATAAATTATTTCAGGAAAATTTGGTTCAATTTTCCCTCTAAAATTATAATACAGTAAATAGAAAGCATCTGTTACAATTACGATCATAATAAATGTAATTTTTATTTTGATGTTTACAGACAAAAGATTCACAATTGTATATATCTTTACATTCAGAATTATATGATTTTCAGTAAAAAAAACCTCAAATTCAAAACTTTTCTATGGAATAATCTGGATCTAATTGAATTTTTAGAACAGAAATTGAAACTAGAACAAAATGGAATTGAAATAAATAAATAAATAAAAATTTCTACACAATCAATATGAAATATATCAATACAAAAAATTGTAAAGAATAAATTCTTTCTTACAGCTATTTAATGTCAATAATTATCATACATAGATTACATTATACATATAAAGCAATGTAAACCTGAATATTAATTTGAAATATTCGAATTTTATATTTTTTTGATCGCTTTTTTCATTTTCACTTATTAATTTCAAAATATCGTACTGTACATTATTTATTCAATAACTAAATTTCTCAATATGTTTGCATAACCATTTTATAAAAATAAACAGGGTCTTATCCTATAATACTTGACAACACTACATTTTGTGTTATCAAATATTACTTATAATATAAACTCTAACTAAAAAGTTATAAAAGATGTCCTATTCCAAATAAGTTGGAATATAAGTTTAATTTTCATGTTCAATTCATCTCTACTATAATTTTGTAATTTTTAATACTGACTTATCAAGGAGAGTAAATGGATGCAAAATACCTCATTACAATAATGCTGTATTCAATATTGCTTTTCTACATGGTCACATGTGCCAATGTCAACTGAACAATTACTTAACATTTTCTTGCATTGCGGCATCTAGTCATTTTATTTGAATCATTCATACACATACATACACATTTATATATGTGTATGAATGATTCAAATAAAATGACATAAAAAAAATATATATATGTGGCATTTATAAAGTTTATTAATCCAACACCTATGAGAGCAGAACAGTGCCAGATCTGGATATTGCTATATATTTTGTACTAGTGCATGCATGCTGTTGTAATCTTCCAATTTGTTATTTAAGTACTTTGATGATGATATAGTGGATGACTGAACTATATTAATACTGAAAATCCTGCAAAAATGTTTACAAACACATTATTGCAGAAAGTCAACATTTATGGTGATCATGAACATGTACTATATACAGTGCCATAACTAGCCATTCCTGTGACCTGTGCAAGAATTTGCATTTATGCCCCTTAATTAATTAGGTTTGGGAAAATAATAAAACAAATACATGCCTTTTTTGCTCCCCTTCCAAGTGGGCACTGTGTGGGTGCACCTGTTGCCCCTGCCTAGTTACGGCACTGACGATATATATAAAATTCACAAAAATTATTTGAAGCTCTGGGTATAAAATGCCCATTTTCTCACATTGGTCTTTGGAAAAGAAAAATACATCAATCATGCATGTTACTGAACATGAAGTGCATGCACTAGCTCTAACAAGGTAATGTTTGTTTACAATATAGAATACAGGATCATTAACACTAATGTTCAAACAAATTTAAATTTTCAGATTACCAGTATGCCAGATAAATGTTTCACAAACTTCTACTCACTCTCTCCTATTTCTTTTTTTACATTTTAAATACTCTATGCCAGGGGTCAGCAGAAATGTGACACCTATGGCGTGAACATTTCAGATGCACCCTCTAGAACCATAGTCATGCAAGCACAAATACATAAAATTACAAGTGTATATGTATATTTAATTTGATTTTGTGTTATTTTACGTTTGTACAGTACTTTTAATTTTTATTTTTTATTTATTACATGCATGTATAAATATACATGTTTCAAAACATAATTAGTTTGTTTATTTATTACAACATTGTGGATTTTTTTCAAACATTAAACTATGCACCCTCAATGGTTTTTAAAATTTTTATTGCCCCTTAGTAACAAAAAGGTTGCTGATCCCTGCTCTATACAATTTGTCATGTTAAATGATTTTTCTATGATACTTGCTCATATGCAAATTCTTGATTTAAAAGAAAAGCATATCTACTATTATAGCATGTGTTTTGATTAACATAGTATGATTGACAAGTGACTAAACCAAAATTTTCCTGAAAAATAATCAATGAAATTTTCTTAAAGTATTAATATTAAATTCTTCCTTTTTAATATTTTCTCATATAGACACTTAAAATTAATTATTAATATCCAAAAGAATTGAATATTAAAGATAAGACTCTCATTGATAAGATGAGGCATTTCAGCTGCCAAGTTATTGTCATTTAATTGACTTAATCTGAATCAATTTTGGACTATTTTGACCAAAAATATTAATTACATAAAGCAAAGAGACACCCACAATTGCAGTAAATAATCGGGCTATAATTCGGAAATATTAATATTTACAGCTAAGCATCGGGTTTCGGGAGTTGTTTATATCTGTATATTAATTACGTATTTTCTCAGATTATTTTGATAGTTCATTTGATATATTGAAACCTGATTTGAGAAAAAAACTAAATTTTACATATTAGTTGGATTCTTTCTTTTGCATAATGTAAGATTCTAACAATATTGAAAAACAAATATCATTCCAATTTTTTACTTTATTGTTTTAATTGGATATTTTTTGTGTTTTTTTTAAAGGAATGTTTTAACCTGATGGCCTAATAGCCTCTAAAGAAAGGTCCGGTCGTCAAAGGAACATGTGATTAGAATAAATGGTGGTTTTCAAAAAATTATTTTTGGACAGACTGTGTCTTTTTTGATTAACTTAAAATTATCATATGACAAAATTCTACAAATGAAATATCATTCCTTTTTCATTTTTTAACTAATTTTATCTACTACTGCTGTTTATTCAAATAATAATAATATTATTGAATGAAAAACTTATATTAAGAACATTTTTGTTGGTTTTATTGTCAAAACAATTTTCTTCATTCAAAGGAAATTTAATACATAGAATTTTTAATGAAAAAATTTATTAGTATGGAGACATTTGAAAATTTTCAAATTCAACAATAATATAAAATAAAGTATATTGTTAATTTAATTATATAGATGTATAAGTAAAATTTTTAATAAAAATTTTCAAGACAAACATTATTTGCAAATAAATTGATAATTTTCAAATCAGAAATTACTAATATGAAGTCATTAAGTACGCCAGAAATTATGCTAATAAAAATAATTACACTATTGTGTAATGCCTGAAAATAATTAATTTCTTTAATATTAATATAAAAAGTTCTTTATATTTATGGGTGGGATGATATTGTTCTGATCATGATTAATTTTCTATACAATGTAAGTTATATTCCAACAAATAATTTAAAAAAAAAAAAAAAAATTTGAAAGAATTGTTATTAACTTTAGAATCTTTCCCAAAGTAAAAATGAAGCTGACATTCATTATGAATAAAATTATAATTTTTTAATTTAAGATATATATATAACAATGTATTTGAAATTTGTCAAGCTATGTTTATTTTTGCAAGAAATTTGACATCATAAAAACACATCTAATGATGTAATGTTTGATTTTTCTAAGTTTTGTCTGTGTATATACATATAATAGATTGTTCTTAACTTCCAAACTAATGTTTAAATATTTATTCATTTGTTCAATTATTTTAAATTTATTTAATAAATGCAATTAAGTAGTAAAAATAATACAATATAATTTATTACTTACTAAACAGTTACATAAAACTTTAATTAATATTAAATAAAACTAATTTTTAAAATATTTGTATCCAAACAGTAAAATTAAGCATCTTAAGTCTTAAATTAACATTAAAAATTCTTACCTTGTGGGCTAGGCATTATAGGAGTACCTGGACCAGGTGGTCCTGTGCTCGATACAGGAGGACCCTAATCAAATAAAAACATACATCAATGATGTTTTATCACAAACATTTTTTTAAAATTCTAGATTTAAATTATTATTTTTTACTACTATACTTTAATGAAAGCAAAAATAAATAAGTAAATTTTTAAATCAAGTAAATATTGCAGTTTCTGGCTCAAAAGTATTTTGTAAATGTTATGATTATCTGAACATTTCCTGTAACACTTTATTTATTAAGAACAAAAATCAAACTATTCCAATATATTTAAAGAAATAATAATTAAACTTAAAAAGTTAATAATTTATTAATGCTATTTCAGATGAAAAATAATAAATGATATAGAATCATTTAAATAAAATTTTTATGGAAGGATAAAAACAATTTTGAAATTTAAAATTGAAAAAATAATCATCTATTAAGTAATAATGACAATTAATTAATTAATTTAAATGTTAAGTTTATAAATGTTTTAACCAACATTAAGGAATTTCATTCATCTTTAGAAATTTTTAATTTAAAATGTTTTAAAATTTTAAATTTTTTCCTTTATATTAAATGTTTGTTTTCTGTAACAAAACACAATAAGATTGCATATAATAATATAAAATAAAACAGTACTTCTCAAAGTTATGAAAGCATTCACAAGTACTGACAATTACACTAATGTGTTAATGTATTGAAGATACTTGTGAACAAGCATTTTTGAAGTAAGCAATATGTGTGTAAGTTCTTGTTATTTCAAATTTTTAACATTTTGTATTTTCATATTATTAATGCATACTGACATGTATCCAGAATAATTTTATTGTAAAAAAAAATTTCTAGAAAACTATCATTAATGAATTTAAAACTAAATGCTGTATTTTGAAGAAATGGAAGTTTTGTTTCATAGCAATTACTTTCTCTGCAACCATTCTTTTTAACATATATATAGGAAAATTGTTCAAATAGAAATAAGAATTTGACTAAAATATTTTATTGATTTTATATGCAAGATGTAAAAAATATTTTAAAAGTTTTCTATTTAATATAATAACAATGAATTTAAGTTTTTTTTATGTTCTTTATGTCAAATATAATCAATTTTTGGAATGATCTCTCAAAATATGGGTATTAAATTATATTGATATTACTATAGTAATATGGTCCAAATCCCAAAAAGTGCTTTATAAAATTAGATTAGGCTTCATTGGTAGTATTAATATATACAAATTAAAGTTATTTATGCATATAAAAACAATCCTTGAAACATACCCCATAGTGACTTCCTGGAGATGCTGAAGAATAACTGATTTGCTAAAAAATAAAAAGTTTTATTATACAATAATAAACATTTTGACAATATTTATTAAATTGAACAAATTTCATCTAAAACATTAATTTTTTAACATACTGTTGTGTTAGGCTGCCATGGTCGACCACCAGGACCTGGCCTGTAAAAATATATTATTGTAAATATACTTGAAAAGAATAAAATATTAATATAAAAAAATTAGCAGCTTTACATACATGGACATAGGAGGCATGGTTGGGCCTCCAGGTCCTAGTGTGCTATTGTGAGGAGGCCTCATTCCACCATAGTTCTGAATAAAACATGAAAAAATATGAAATAATTGCATAAAAAAAATAATATATAATAAAAAGGTTTATCTTACAGCAGGATTCATAGGACCAAGTGGTTGGCCTCTGGGAGGATTCATTCTGGGATTCATAGCCATTCCTGGAGGTCCTATTGCAAATTTCAATCCACTTGAGTTAAATATTTTTGACACTAAATAAATTAATAATTAAAAAAATTCACCACAATTTTTAATGCGATAAAGTAAACAGTCTACTGTATTGAAGAGACACTACTATTCCAAAATATTCAATAATAAAGAAACAAAATTTTGTTGAAACAATACAGAGCTAAGAATAAAAATAACTGATTAGTTTAAAAATTTATGTAAAATCTTATAGTCATCTTTGAGAATACAATTTTAAATTTCATCTTATTAAAAATGAAGTTTTACAATACTGAGAGAATATTTAGTTTTCAAATTTTAAGAAATTTAAACAATTGCTGAAGTAACTAATTTTAAAAAGGTAAAAATTGTAATATTTATATATTACAATTTTCAAATCTATTTTTCATAAATATTTAAAATTATAAAAATAATACATTAAAAAAATTATTGATTTCTGTATAGTTAATTATTTGTGTTCATTCATTTTATGAATATTAAAATGAATATTAAATAGTAGTATGACTTAAGAATACAGCTTTATATCATACAAATGCTTAACAGAGAAAATAATTTACTGTTTTGAACCAGAAGAAAAAAATTTAAAACTACCAGTAAGTGTCATAAATATGTAATTTTCAATCATGATCTTCAAACTTCAAATTGTCTTAGTAGCTATAAGCTAAAATATATATAGTATGTATTTGTTTAGCATGCAATATTCTTTTTTAGAAAATAAAGAGGAAAATCTGATGATAACTTCTAACATAATAAAAAAAAAAAAAAAACTATGGTATAGGACAATTATCAAATACAAGTAATAATAATATGGAATTTTAATGGAATTTAGTGTAATTATATATTCAAGTACTGAATAAAAAATCATTACTCCCAAATCTTGCTGTAATTTTTATTTTTGAAAAAAATATAAAATGCATTATATAAATTATATAAAGCAGAAATCATATGAAATATTACTTTGCTTATTTGAAAAGATTTTTAAAAATAAATTTTAACTTTCTTCTCTCTACAGTTTCATTCTTTTCTTACATGCATATTTTATTAAATATTGCAATAAAATAATATTTTTAATTTTTGTAGTTTCTTAAATAAAACTTCAACATTATTAAATATTTTTCTTCTTGATCATTTATTTTTAAAACAATTTCAATAAAATGTTTCCAATTATTCATAAACTTAAAGGATAACTCACTTAATGCATCATTAACAAAAAATTACTACTACAAGAGGAAATTTTCCAGGTACAGAAAAGAAAAAAAAAAATTCAAAGTAAATCCACAACCATAAAACATTTACCTTCATTTTAATGACATCTGAAACAAAGAGAACTCAACAGCAACTGTCAAATCTGAAGCTATTTATTACTAACTTAATTAAACTTTAGCTATTAAATGATGAATGGTGAATCCTTCAACAAAAATAATTTTTAATTGAAAATTATAATTTAGGTCTTGGGATTATTTTTGAATAATGCACTTTTAAATTTAATGATTAAAAAAAAAAACAAGCTAAAATATTCTGCTATATTGTTTAGAATATATATTACTTGTCTTAATCCATTTTTTATAACTAACTGGAAATATCATTTTTAAATCAAACAAACTTGGTGTACTGTTTTTTTATTAAAATGTTTTTTAAAATATACAAATAGATAATTTATTAAAAAAATAATCAAAATGTGTTTTCAATAAACTTTTGATCATCACTTTTTAAAGAATCATATAAAAAATTATATGTACTGCAAATTAAACAACATACAGTTTTTAGATTTTATTCATTTTAAGATCAAGACACATTATTCAAACAATAACTGACTAATTTAGTAAGTATTTAAAAAATTGCCTCACAGATTCATTTTTTTTTTATTAAACAAAGGATATCAGCATGAGACACAGTGTTAGTATTTGGATAAGTAAACAAAGAACATGAAGGATGGAAGAAAGATCTGCAATGCATTATGGATAATGTCTATCATACTGGTATTTAAATTGATCTACAACATGCAAATATCTTAAACGTGACTTATCTCCATTTTTGCCCAAAGTCTAGGGATAGGGGAATTAAATTCTGAAATACATTTGTTGATGGATTATGCAAAAACTGTTTTCTCTTTCTTTCAAATTATTACATAAAACAGTAAAAATCTTACTTAACAGTGAAGATATTATATATATATATACACCACACACACACAACATTGAAGATATAGGTTTTGTATCTCATATTCATTATAATGTTTTTTTAAGATAGAAAGTATTATTCATTCACAACTTCAAGCAGTGAGATAGGAGAATATGAGATATTTTACAAAGCAAAAACTTTATTACAAGATGAAATAGTGTGTTCTCCACACTGTGACAGGTAATATGTCCACGATAACTTTCTATATTTTAAGAGGTGGAAAAAAGAAAGAAAGAAAAAAAAGCGGATCTATTTCCCAACTGGACCACTTGCAACAAATGTGAATGGGTAGAAAATATGGTAGTTGGATGTATTGTATATATCTACAAAGAGAAGCAAATCTATTATAAAATTCTCGTATTCCAAAACAAATAGGAGACTGCTAGCGTTCCGTTTCATTACATTAAGTGAAAGGCATTTTCAAAGTCGTAGTCTATCCATGCAAAACTTCAAACATTAGTTTGGCGACGACTGCAAATTTATACAATTCACCTAACAAACGAATGTCTTTCCAAAACCAACACGACAAAATATTGACAACTAGTGCCGATTTTCGATCGATGCTCAGTCCCCAAGGAGACCAGGCTTTCGTCAATTAGCTCTGCTTTATTGAAAGGCAAAAAGGTTGCAAAAATAGTAAGTCCTGTCAGTAACCTCGCAATCTTTCTAATATAAACGTAAATTAATTAAATGAAATATTTCAATTTTAGGGCTTACTCGTTTAATATCCGAAACATTTTATTATATAATTAAAATTTTTTTGTACACGTTTAAGTTTTATTATTTTAATATCGCGGGAAAAATAAACGCAAGACAATTAAGCGATTTAAAAATAAGAATAAAAAAGCGCCATATATAGTCACCCGCTTCTTTCTTTAGCCTAGTCATATTTCACTGGAGTGTCATCACAGGGGAGAAACAAAACACGAAAACCGTATGACTCTCCTCTGAACTCACCCCACGTAGTCGAATGGTAAAAATAAAAAAGGAAAAAAGATACAGATGAAGGAAACCGGACGAATACGGAATGACCCATTCCCTTAAAAAGAAGCTGTCCTAGTTTCTATTCGGAAGACTAAAACTTGTGAAATATTTATCATAGGGAGTAGAGAGAGCATTGGCGTGTGCGTGTAAAGCAAACCGACTAACAGAGTGCTGGGAACAATAAAATTCCTTTACACCGTCCGTTGTTGAAATTGAGGACGAGTAGCGAAGCTGAATCGAACGACAGGCAATAAAACACAGCCGTCAAGCAGATCTTAAAAATATAACAATATACCGCTATATATCAATGCGACACTCTTTTCGCAGACGGTTGCTACGACGATAAATAACAACAGGTATAGTTCAAGTCTTATACAACACCTTTGAGAGACGTTGGAAAGAAAATGCGTATCTTCTGTATCCACTCGTTATACACAGTATAGGTTACAGATCGATAATACATACACCGATCACCTTATCCCATTAGAATACAAGTCACATTAGATTAATCAGATACCTCTATGCCATTCATCCAAAGAAAAGAGACAATTCGTGCGAAAGATAGAATCCCGAAGCACCAATATTTTAATGATGTCATAAATCAAACTGATTGTACGTTACGTATCATTAGGCTAGACTTTACTTTATTGCCCACGTGGGTGTTAAAAGCCCATCTCCCAAGTTATATTTGTCTAATAAGGCACGACTTCTGACGTAATAGCTACGCGTGTTGTAGATCAGCGAAATTATATAATATAAGTTGTGCAAGTATAGTAAAAATAATAATATAAGTCTAACGTAATTAGGCTAACTCGTATTCACCCACGACACTATTCTCCATTCCCTACCATTTTTCGATTAGTTCGAAGCTTTTCGCCCATAGCAACTAGAATATGCCACTTTTTTTTTATTTTATCCAACAGCTGCTACTAATTAGTGACGAGTGACAGCTGTCAGCTCTAGTCATAACACGAGCAAGATGAAGACAGAACCACCGAACCGGGTATATAATTAACGACATTCTGCGCAACTGGCATCGAAGAGAAGAAACAGGTGGCGGATATTCTGTCCCGAAAACAAATTTCGTTAATGCATAGTCCAATTTCGACCGATTCACATTTACATTTAGCAGAAACGAGTCTCTTACAACAGCCAATAAAACGCAATAAAATGGTATATATCATTCCTATTAAATGTGAAACAGAACCGGAGTCGATACACAATTCACGTATATCATCTTCTGTGACATGTTAATTTTTATTACTGATTACGTTGACCAATTTGGGAATAGTAGGCCCAGAAAATTCTTTCTGGTCCATTTCAGATTTTACAGTTGCAATTAAACTATAACACTATAAATGATGTAAAATTTATCACTATTCAAACTTAATATTTATGAATGTTAGCTTACATACTAACTTTTGATATCTAAAGATATAAATTACAAGTAAAAATAACTATTATTATTATTATTATTATTATGAAATTAAATTATAATTTAATACATTAGAGAGAATATGTGCACAGTAGGATGGATGTTTAATAAAATTTTAATAGACGATAAAAAAAAACATATTAAAATTTATTTCAAAAATTATTTGAATTGGAATAATGCCAAATGAAACAAGAAAAGAGTTTAGAAAATAATAAAGTAATTCTTTTATATGCAATAATAATTTAGTTATTTAATATTCTAAACATGGTTTGAAATGTAAATTTTTCATTATTACTAATATTATATGTATGCGTATTTATAAATTAATTAATAACAATGGAAAAAATTTACATCTCAAAATCACGTTTAGAATATGAAGGAACTAAAATTATCATGTATACAAAAGAATTGCCGATTTTTCAGCTGCTGGGTAAAAAAATATTTTTTCCATAAACTTTAACAGCAGGAACTCACCTTGCCATCCGACAAATTCTCCTCCGTCACCTGTAAGAGAAAATGTCTCTTATACTTTGAAGCTTATTTTATCAACAAATAAATTTTTTTAAAATGAAACAGCTAATGAATTATTTCTTTAAAATTGAAATGACCATAAAATGAATTTTAACACTTTCCGGAACAAAATGTATTCACTATATAAGTGAAAAACACATATAAAACTACCAGTTTCCGTATTATCCTACTTAATTTATCAACGAATGTTAAACCTATCCTATGAAAAGGCAAAAAAGAGAATAAAATTTCATCTTAAAGACCTCACCTTGCCTCGTCGGATCCAAGCTGTTGGGCATCATGGGTTGTCCAGGTACACTGCCCGGGGGCTGTCAATAAACAAGAATAATCAGTTTACCACATAGTGGGAGAAATGCCGACTTAAGAGACTGGGGGTCAATTACCAGCCTAGTCTTTCAAACGTGACAGAAGATGGGAAACGCGAATTTTCTACAAATAGCCGAATATAAAAGAGACGAAACACAGAACAGCTAATGAAATCATGCTATTCACATTTCACGCCTGACGTGGCAAGTTAATCAAAGTGAACACTTTGGCCCGCAGCGGGAGAAAGGAATGAAAAGAGCGAGTGCCAAGATAATTACGGTCAGCGGGCAACAGTCGACCACATACCTCAGGTGTCACGGGCATAACTAACATATTTTCTTGCTGGCTAATATCTTTTCTGGATCACGGAATTCTCTCATAACATTGCTTTCGCTTCTGCAAATTACCGAACATCAAAAGGGCGAGACGCAGTTTCGCATCATTTCGAGTGAAATAGTAAATACGATCGAGTCGCACATAAAACGACAAAAAAATGTGAATAGCGGTGACAAGGAAACTTTCAAAAAGTGTGCATCAAATAATCCAAATAGTACATAAATTCATAATACTTACATTGAAATCTACTTGTTGAGGCATTCGGACTCCAGGCCTTGGTCCTCCGGGATACCTCGGCGACATGAATGGCTGTGAAAAAAAGGAGGAAAGAAAATTAAAATAGTAATACTCGACAACGGGCGATATTCTCTTGCGCTAGCAGTGGCGAATTTATCGGCGCAGCTGGAAGTTAATTCGTGCATTGAACACATCTTGATGAGGTCCAGTCGAGTGCTGATAGCCCCACCAGTCCATCTCGCTAACTGACAGAGTGCAGGCGCTAGCAATTAGAGTGAATTTACGCACGACGTGGCTGGAAAATTGGAAGAGCTGACCTGCATCTCTACCGGGAAATCGAAGCATCTGCAGATATCGGAACGAGTTTGGGTCAGTCTTTGACTAGAATAACACTCTAATAACGTAAAGGTATAGAACTCGATCAAGGTTGATGAGAAAGCAGAAACTCAGACCAGATAACGCTACTCGACACGCATCATTAAGCTTCCATCTGATGCCAGATCTTTGCGACGCTTGCCCGCTTACTTACTACTAAATAGTTTTTCGTCATGGTCTCTCCTCTCACTACAGATTGCATCGCGCTTCTCTTTTATTTTTCATTGTCAGCTGTAACGATAAGTATCGAATATTTGTAGATGCGGGTAAGAGGTTATTGGATACCCCCAATTTTTCCAAATACGGACTTAGAGTGGCACACGCCATTAAGTCGGGCGAGGTGCCGTAATGTCTATTTATTACCCACCCACTTGACGATCCCAGTACCGGGTTGTGTGGAAAGATGAGCTATTTCACCTGCCACTTGATCACATAATAAACAGCCTCACAAACAGTGTCAGGCGGCACCATCAGTCAACAGATACTTATCTGCCACCACATGGCCCGCCTACAGGTTCTGCAGCACGGGTAAGTCCTCAGCTACGACAAAGCTTTTGTCGGTAGAGAGAATACTTGAAAGCTTTCTTTGTGGACTGCAGCTGTGCCTTACCACTAGATATGCGGATGAGAAGCGGACATTCTATCTACGACGTAACTTTATCCGACAGAGAGGAAATGAACAGACCGACTTCATTTCCTGTTCATTCATTCGCACAATTTACAAGTGATCGCCACAGACCGATGACCCTCGGATGGAACCAACTTGTAGTTTTGCACGATGGTCGTCTCCGGTGACAACTCCTTTTAGAAAACTTCTAAACTCGAATATCAACAATAATTAAAGGAGAGAACAATCGCACGTGAGCACATCACGTGGGATGTTACCCGACATGCACAGCGCCGACACCACAACACAAGACGTCAGTTAGGAAGAGAAGGGGAGTACCGCCGGCGGATGTTGTGCCTATCAGGTAAGAAAACTTCCTATTACGGAACCAGAAAACTTTTTCTATCTTTTACTAATTAAGAATAGAATATATTTTGGGAGAGCTTGGGGTCATTCTTAAATATTACACGAAAATGATTCATTATTGTTAGCGAAAAATCAACAGCGTCGATAAGAACGTCATTTATTAATCACGGAATACTCCGTTAATGACGATCACTCTTGACGGTAATTTATAATATGTCCGTATCTCCGCAATTATGAATATCCAATCTAAGTTAACCAGTAAAAATGTGAAAATTTATATTATAAACTAACTTAATCAGGCATTATTTTAAGATACTACATAGAAAAACTTTTCGAAAAGACAATTGTAGAATAAGCAACTTTATTCGTTCGACTAAGTTAGCGTAACTAATTAATTTTAATTACTGTTGCAATAATTATATTGAGAATGCGTTATTCTTGTGAACATAATTTGTATGGAAAGAATAATTATTTGCTGGTACTTTCATACGTCTTCGTTCATGTGATAAATTTCTCACCCGTCCCTAGGCCTATACATGTGCAAGAACTCTGTACCGAGCGAACTTCCTTGTTCTTCTCGGCCAACATCACTCTCTTCCTTTTTTTGAACTCCCGCCCCACATGACACTTCTCTCTTCTTCGCCCTCTAGCGCTATCTACACGCACCTCTTCATTTTTAGCTCCCTCTGGTATCCTAAAATCAAAACTTTTGTTTAGATCTCCCATCCAGCTTTCTTGTTTTGCGCCATTAAAATTCGGGCACGGAGTCGGCCTTTTATGAAACGTCATAAATTCGCGTATTCATAACGTCCACCGACGAGATAAAGCAGGTGGTGAGCCGTAGATAAAACGCGACGCTGAAGAACATTAAAAATTAACTATCGCTGTTGACTGGAGTAGCCAATTGCCAGTGTAGACAGTATTTACATCATTAATGAATAAAGTTTTGACTGAACAAACAATTTCGTGGTCTTAAACGGAAAGGACAGATTAATCACCCTCTCTTCTCTCGCAACGTACGATGAGATTGCGGTTACGGTTTATGGCCTTCTCATTTCTATCCCTTATTTCGAAATATCGAGGAATATCGTCTTGTCTCGTTTATGGCGGGTCGTTACGATTTACTTTTATAATCGGAGGAGAGGACCTCGTTCCGCAGTTAGAGGAATCGAGTTTCAAATATAAAAATCCTAACTGCTGCATTACTTTTTCCTTTCTTTACTATGTACTCGTGCTGCCATCTGGTATTATAAAATTCCAGTGCAATTCTTAGTTTTCTATTCTTAACCATAAAATGCCCGAGCCGCACAACTTTATTTTATCCTTAATACTTTCGAGAGCCATTTGGATAATTTTCGGTCCGAAATGGTTAGGTAATATTCAGAACTCTGCTATTAAATAACCCACAATATCAATTTTTATAATAGATCATATCGAGAAAATGCTCGATATAATCTACTGTCTACAAACCAATATTAAGCTTATTGCAACATTTGTTTCGTCTACAACACTTTTACACCGAAATTTATCAGTTTATAAATAAGTTAAAAAAATTTTCCCCGTCATTCAGTAAAGGCTTTCTGGCTATTAGAATTTAATAGCAGCTTTATCTGGGAAATGCAACCACGCCCACTACACGATACGTTAATGCGGGTTGTTAAAATGATTATTACTATTAAAATATGACTACAAATAGAGTTAAAATATTCAAAACGATTCAATTAGGAAAATTCGACAAGTGGAAACTTTTCCCCCCTCCTTTTCCTGAAATAAGAAACTGAATTTTTCAATTTAAGTAAAACACGCATTATGCATACTGTATTTAAAAACTAAGAACACTTCAATATTTTTTAATCTGTAGGCAATTGAAAGATTTAATTGATGAAATGAAAGAAGTCAGATGAACAGATTAAATTCAACAGATCGAAGATTAAATAAATCAAATAAAAATCAGATTAACAACACGACCAAATAGAAAAAAATACAGTATATATATATATTAGAAATTCCAACTCCTTTCGCTTTTACTACAATTTTAAGAAAAAGTTACTATTCGTAGAAATGCACTTCGTCATATCAAATTAATTTCCACTCAGGAAATCTAATCTAACTTAACATTCAGAGCGGTTAGCTGAATAAATTAAATTAAGCGCGGACATTATCCCGACAGATAAAACTAACATTTTAATATTTTAACATAACAATGTTGCTTATATTTTAATATTTTAATTTGATGGGCCATAAATTTTTAATATGTATTAACATGGAATTCATAATAACGATACTTGTTACACGCGCGTAGTTGGTTTTCTTTTTTAAAAAATCGATTAAAATGAATGTTTTATTTAAATTAAAAACGCAGAAAATATTACTTGCCTACAGGGGAAAGTAAACTAGTTGGGATAATCGATATGGCTTATCAAATTCTCACTATCTCTTCCATCGCATCGTTTGTTCCTATTCTGAACTAAGACTGCACGTGGCATATCTCGTTCACATCACGACTGCTGACACGAATACCGGTTGTGATTAGTGACGTGCAAGGTACATATATCCCTAAAATTTCGTATAATCTTCCGACGCCAGTCTAAAGGGTGTTCTGCTATACTTTTTTATTATTTTTTTCTTTTTTCCGAGAGGCCTTTTCTACAACCTCGCGGCGAAATGTTCACAGTTTCTCGTTAATCGCTTAACGTTCGGGGGATATTCAGTTTGCATATTAGGAAGCGGTAGAAAGGACAATAGACATTATCGTTGATGATAAATGCGCGTTGCAAAATTCATATCGGTGCTCCTCTGCATAATTATCCTCGTATTCTGCATATTAACGAGTTTGTCTCGCTTTAATGAAAATATCCCATTTATTTCCCACTGATCTACTTTTACTCGGATGAAATAATTACCATAATTATTAAAGCCTATATAAAGTCGAAATTAATAAATGAAAAATTAAAAAAAAAATTCACATTATCATCGAATAAAAACTGCTAATTATGTGCTGCGTAATATTCAAATATTAAAATTTTAAATTTTAAATTAATTTATTGAATAGAAAAGTATAATCGGCACAGGATACAATGGACTTTTGTTATTGCTATGACCCTTATTAAATGAAATTACTGCGATCATAGTTTAAAGTAATTTCTAATTAAATTCTGAATTATTTAACATTTATTTGCTATCTAATGTATAATTTTATATTACAACTGGCTTATAGCTTTATTAAATAGATTAAAGAACTAAAAATTTTCCGGACATTAAGTTTAGCTTACGGAAATATTCTTAAATTACAAAGCTGCTTAATAATTTTCGAAATAAAGCTCTTATAAGCGTTACTTACCAAAATTTTGCTTGAAATATCTATTCACACATGTTACATCTAAATATCATACATTTATTAAAAACAGTTCTTAAAAAATTAATCTTGTATATCTTAGGACGGCTGTCATTTCTTACAATTCATACAAATTCCCTATTAATCGAATATATATTGGATTTCAAGAGTCACGATCTTTTTTTTAAATATAATAAAAAATACGCTTTAGTTATTTAGACATTAAAATTATCAATTTGAAAAGAGATAATTATCAACTCAGTAGCAAAATCTTAGCAGCAGCTCCACAGCCAAAATTAGATCTTTTGAAAGCTTCATTCTAGTGATTAAACAGCAGCTGCTTAAATTTACAACTGATGAATTTATTTCGACTGAATTATGCCTGTTTAGAAAAGAGATTTTTTTGAATCTCTAATTCAAACAATATTTTCTATTTCAGAAAGGAAGTTAGATCTATGATCAAATATTTCGGATTAGAACTTTATATTCTTTTATAGAAATTTTTGCAGTTCCTTTATTTTATAAAATTCGTACGTTATTTTTAAAACCTCGATTTTGCTGAAAGAATTAATATATTCGCGATAAATGTTACAATTTTATACCGAAAACGTTATTAATAGTAGTGCGAGCCTGTAGGTTTAAAAAATTTTTACTGCTATTAGTAAGAAGTTTTCATTATGGACCGTCTTGAAAATTAATTCTGTACAAATACTAATTAAATTAAATATTTAAAACCTATTCCATTTCAGATATTTATAAATTTGTAAAAAAATGACTGAAATATATACAATAATTTAGATTGCACGTCCAAGTCTTATATCTCCGAATGTGAGAGAGATCTAAAAACGAAAGAATTTTTCATCTCTTTAAAAACAAATTTCTTTTTAAGTCCAAACTTTTTAAACGGACACACTTTCAATTTAAAAACAATTTATTATTATTAAAATAGATTTTCATTTTTGTAAATAATACATTTTTACCAGTCCATTTTATCTTCAATACTTTCGAAGATAAAAGATCTGGAAAGTGATCGGAATCATCTCGTACATTTATTGGTTACAGTCAATGACGTTTTATAAAACCAGTTATTAACATGAAAATGATCACTGTTCTGTAGTAACCTTAAATGCCCCAATTTTAACACTATACAGGAAAAAAGTTTTAAAAAGTAATACTAATAACTATAAAATAGTTAAAATGAATTGAATCATCAGAAACATTTTCGTAAATATCATAACTGAAAATTGGGATATATGTATACTGTATATGCAAAATATTGTAAGATAATGTTATTTTCTCACGTAATTTTCTATTTTGGAAAACTTGAAAACGTTAATTGCTATTTGAAAGCTACAGCCTTTCAATTTCATATTGAACGGTTAGGATTAAGTAAGGAATTAGGATTAACGGTTAGGATGTTAAGTAAGAAAGTAAGAAATTTTTCATCCAATTATAATGTTTTTGCAATAAGTAGATACTTTGAGTTGCATTTACACCCATAACGCATAAACTCTACTTGACGCTTACTATGCAGATCTCAACATCAGCTTAGAAAATTATATCCTAAGAATATTCATATGCTGCTAATCGTGTCTACTTGCTTCAGTAAGGCTTACATACACATACAAGTACTACCAAACGTATCGTAACTGTTCAAGCAGTTA